ACATCCTGACTTACCTGAAGTTCCTGGGCTTGTAGCTCCAGTGCTGGATTTGCTGGCTGTGGTGCTCTCCTCCCCAATAGGTGGTGTTGTACTAGGGCTTGTGGTTCCTCCTAAGTTTTTTTTTTTTTTTTAAAAAAAGCATTTCATATTGCCTTATGCATAAATCAAGCCTTTAAATCTCATAAACATCCTCTCAAAGCGGCTACATTATTCTTCTCACTTATCAAAAATGGTTAAGCGATGTGCTCTCATCATCCAGTTGGAAGCTAGAAAACCAGACAGCCAAACTTGAATCACCTATCCCTAATTTTATGCTATAACCAGTGCTGCTCCAAAGATCTCTGGCAACAGGCCAAGTTACTATTCTCATCTCTGCTAGAGGCATGGTTTTCAAAATGTTATAAAATAAATACTAATATAAAATTTAAGTAAATAAGACCATATTCCATACAAGATTTTTATTCAACAATAAAATACTATTATGTTAAAATTCTATATCGTTTAAGTCAGTAATTTCAAAAACTACAGCTTATTCAAAAGACTATTTATCATGAATTTTAAATCAAAACAATAGCTAACCAAAAATGAGTGTATGAGAAACACAACCAGCTCATAGATTCTTTAATAAATTTATAAGACCTAATATGCATATATGAGACAAAGGCCTCCTGATACTATGTAAATTTCTGAATTATCTTAAAAGAAATAAGAACTATTTAAGCACTCTAAGTAATACAGACACAGGATGAGAGTTGAGCTTTAAAAAAGCCATTCTGACTTGACATTTATGGAGTGTAAACTGGGAGTCAAGTTGGGAAAGAGTGGGAACTGTGGAGATATGTTTCTCTACCTTGAGCATCAATTCCCTTAAAATTTGGAGGGCTCCACCCACCCAATAGAATTTCCAATTCTTTGCTGGTGGACTTTTAATAAGATCCCACAGGATTCCAGGAACCCTACTGTGAGCACCATGGTGTTATAGGAGGAAGGTAAGCAAAGCAGAGGAATGCAGGGACTGGGTTAAAGGGCTTACCACAGGAATAAAAGACAGGAAAATGGGCTACAAGGGAAGATACTTTAGAGGTCCTTAAAATTTGTAACTGATGGCATCAGAGAGAGTTTGAAATTGAGTCATGTTTGTTTTCAATCTAAATTATCTATGTCCAGTATTGCCAATAGTATTTTATTCCTGGTCCTGTACTGGCTGAATTTAATCAATGCACATCCACAAGCATATTCTGCTTGGCTTTTATGGAAATAAGCTCTATTACCCTGGTCACACCATTGAGAAGGGAGCTATTGCACAACAGGATTCAGTGTTCATGTTCTAACCAGACTTTGTAAGCTTAGGAACTTTTATTTTCTCATCTCATGACAATAAACACATATAATGTGTTAAGCCTGACTATGTTACTAAAGAATATACTTGAAAGTAAATCAGATATTTTAAAGTACCAAAATGTGTATCATTAATGTTTCATATGCAAATGCAAATGCTTACATAAATTGCACAAAGTCATGGAATTCACTTGTGTAACTATTAAATTGGCCTCTTTGTTTTAGACTGTACTCAGAGTGGTGATTGCTATAGTTAAACGTGTTGATTGGATTATGGTGTTTGACTCATATCTTTGTTTCACCTGATTGGAAGCTGTGTCACTTAGACATTCCTATGGGTTCTTAAAGTCACACCTGGTGACACTGTAGTTGTTCCTTAGGAAGCTTGAAAGTCATTGATACAACTGTACAAATGGCAAAAATCAAACCAAACTGCATGAGGCCTGTAATAATCAGTGGGAACATGTACTTGTAAGGTAATATACTATAAGGAAGCAACATGTTGAAAGTTTAATGATATTATATTCTAATTATATATTAATTCTAATATCAAAACGCTAATGATATTAAATTTTAATTATATATGAGAAAAATCAACTAAGTCAGGTATTTGTTTAGGAAAAATATTGTCTGAGCAGCACTTCCTGAAACCATTTGCTTAGCCAAAGCCGATATACTTGCTCTGAACTGGGCTTACCTGATGTACCCCCAGGACTGGTAATGCTGGGGCTCAGTCCTCCTGTGGTGCCTGCACTTCCAGCTGTGGAGGTGATGGGAACTGAAGTTCCAGTAGAGCCTGGGAAGAATACCAAAGGAACTTCTCACCTACAGTCTACTTGGACTTTATTACCAATGAGTAATTTAACTGTCCGTTCACATCTAAGAGTTAAAAATTTTAATAAATGCATCCAGTGACATAGTACCCACAGTTGCTTATTACTTTAATGTTTTCTTAAACCTTTCAAATTAGTTACTGCTTTTTTTTTTTTAACAAAGACTTCTTTATCTTGAGTTGACTCAACTAGGTCTCCTCACATTCATCTGAACTACTTTGATTCAAAACAGGATCAAAATCAGGACCACTGAAACCATTCTCTACTAACCTGAGTTCCCTTCAGGTGATGTCACTTCATTGTTTGAGGCTCTGGTTGTTTTGTCAACTCCTGGTTCAAATGTACCTTTCAAAACAAACAATGAAAAATATGAAGATTTTTAATTAAGTAGATGATGCTGATCAGTTTCTAAAAGACCTTTCACTCTTGTCTATATATTTCTCTTTTTCTGTTCCAATAATTCTAAATTTGAACATAAAACCTATATGACAGACTTTTTTAGTGAGATTAATTATATTAGCTTACAATTAGGATACATTTTTATCTACTTTTTTTTTTTTTTTTTTTGATACCAGGGATTGAACTCAGGGGCACTCAGCCACATCCCCAGCCCTATTGTGTATTTTATTTAGAGACAGGGTCTCACTGATTTGCTTAGTGCCTCACTTTTGCTGAGGCTGACTTTGAACTCCCAATACCCCTGCCTCAGCTTCCAGAGCTGATGGGATTACAGGCATGGACAATAGCACCAGCTATGTGCATTTTTGGTATGCACTTATTTGAGTAGTGGTTCTGACCTAATTTTGAACATGGAAGCAACTGTGGCTTTAAAATATATGTATATATATGGTCTTTTGTCCAAGGTTCCATGTTCAATGAGTCTGTGTTGAAAAATTTTCTCTACTCAAATATGATTTTGAACCACAACAGCACACTATGTCTTTGCTACAGACTCACAGCATCAGAAGCTTCAAATCAAGGATTCCACGAACATTATGGACCATAGGCACATAGAGGGACAATTTTGTGATACTTTAGAAAGATCATCTAATCCAGGTGACACACTGCTACCTCAGAAATTCTTGGTGAGGTGTTTTGGCCTTGTATGCTTTATTCTTCACCACAAAGAACTGGGACACACTTACACCCTCCATTTGACTCTGATGAAAGCCTGGACTACACCCTCTAGGTTACCTGATTTGCTGCTAGCAGAATTTATGGCTACTCTAGCTAATTCTCCATGGATAGTATTGGTGAGAACTTCAGAAACTCCTATGGTTTTTAGGGCCAAGAGCAGAATATGGGGTTTGCAGAATACATATTATTTCTGCAAAACCTAAACATCATTGAGAGTCTCCAGATTTAGAAAATGAAGGAAAAAATCCTCATAACTTTTCTTGGTACAACAATCTAATCCAAGTTAGGTCCTGATTTTACAAATCTGCATCTGCTGCAGAAGAGCATGGATCATAAATGCATATGCATCACAACCAGAACAGTGGACCTTACCTGAACCAGTGGCTGCAGTCCCTGCCTCTCTAGGTGTGCTACCACCTTGAGCTTCAGGGGTTGTTCCAGATGATGCTCCAGGTGTGCCTGAGATTTATCAGGGAAAAAAAAATAAGTCAGCTTAAGAAACCTAAAGGCGGGACTTCTTATCAACAATGATCTGGAATATGCTTTAAAATAACAGATGGATTTACCCTATAAAATTCGCTGGCATTTGACACCGTTTCTCAGGGTAAATAAGACAAATCAGTTAATTCTGAGAATGTACTCTTTCAATTAAGTTATTGTTGTTAAAAATGGGTTAATCATGTCAAAAAATCATGATTAAAGTTTGATATCCTTTTCCTTGTACACTAGAACTATCTTAAACCAATTTGCATCTTTTCCCCTCTTGATTGCTTTCCTTCTTATTGTCTTAATTACTATCTTACTATCCTCTTAAACTTATTACTTATTGCACCTAGATGGTTGTTAATTTCTCTGTTTCCCACTTGGCACTGTGTAACATCAGTTAGATTTCCCTAATCTTTCATGATAATCCACAGTGATTCTAAAATGTATTAAGAACAAAACTCAGACTTGATATATTCATGCTTTTCTGGAAATTGGCAACACCTCTACCATAATGGTCAGATTCCTAGATAACACTGTCTCTGAATAGGTTTGGGGAAAAAAGCTCTCATGTCTACTGACTGCCTGGATTTCACCTGCTTATGCTCCTTCAGTACCTGTGGTTCCAGATGTGTTCTCACTAGCAGAGACAGTGGTGGTTGCATCAGCTCCTCCTCTTGTTGCTATGGGGAGAAGAATGGTGCTTAGGTCTATACAGAGAGCTAGGAAGAAAACACTCTTTGAAGGACACTGCATACTTTCAATTTTGTCATCATTGCCTTCAATATTCTCCATTGTTACCTTTCCTATATCTCATTCTCACATTTGGAGATCTTACACAACTTGTATTAGATCCCAGCACAAGTCCCTTGGAAGTGTCTCTCATACCTGTTGGGCTTCCAGTGCCGGTGGCCCCAGTGCTGGATTGCCCAGCTGTGTTGTCTCTGACTGCTCCTGAAGTGGTTCCCGGCAACTCTCCTGTTGTACCTGACAAACGCATTAACAGTGCTTGCAATAAATGCTAGTTTCTCTGAAGGTAGAAATTGGGAGGTCAATGCAAAAATGTAATCTTTTTGTATGTGTTCATTATTTACCCAACAACCTACATGCTTTGATATTTTTATGCATTTCATAGACACTAAGCACACATCCTGATTTACCTGAAGTTCCTGTGCTTGTAGCTCTAGTGCTGGGTTTGCTGGGTGTCCCAATCTCCTTCCCACTAGTTGTTGGTGCACTAGGGCCTTCTGTTCCTACTGAAGAAAGACAGCATTTCAAATTGCCTTATGCATAAATCAAATCTTTTAACCTCATAAACATACTCTGAAAGAGCCAACATTATTCTTCTCATTCCTGTAAAATGTTTAAGTGATATATTCTAGTATTCCAGGTTGCAGATAGAAAAATCAAAGAATCAACCTACAGCCCTCAACCTCTGATTTATAGTCAAATCAGTGCTTTTATCCAATCTATGGCAATCAACCAACTTGTAATATTTCAATATATGCTAGAGACATTCTTTTTTTTAAGAGAGAGAGAGAGAGAACATTTTTTTAAATATTTATTTTTTTTAAATTTTTGGTGGACACATCTTTTTATTTTTTTTATTTTTATGTGATGCTGAAGATCAAACCCAGTGCCCCACGCATGCCAGGCGAGCACACTACCACTTGAGCCACATCCCCAGCCCATAGAGACATTCTTGTAAAAAAAAAAATCCCATAGTATTAATATAGAATTAAAATTTTAATAAACAAGGTCATATATTATCCAAGCTTTTATTCAACAGTTAAATGATTTTTGTGACAAGATGCTATATTTTCAAATGTTTGCCCTCAGTTTCACTTCTCATCACATCACAAAATTTGAGTCCACACTCTGGAGCCACACATTTGTGCACCAAATTTTGAGTAGCCCTTTTGCAAATCATTGTACTTACTGTATGATAACCAGGAGATTACTCATTGAGACCTCATTATTACCCAAGTATATTTGATTCAGATTTTTGTGAATATAATCTAATTGGTTGAATGTTTTCTCTGATATAAGGAGGCTGACTCATAGTGGGGTAGGGAGGGGGAGCATGGCAGAAATAGATGAATTCTAGATAGGGAAGAGGGGAGGGAGAGAAAGGGAGGGGGCAGGGGATTAGCAAGGGCGGCGGAATGTAATGGACATCATTATCCAAAGTAGATGTATGAAGACTCAAATTGGGTGTCAACATACTTTATATATAAACAGAGATATAAAAAATTGTGGTTTATATGTGTAATAAGAATTGTAATGCAAAAAAATAAAAAGCAAAGTACATGTATAAAGGCATGAATTGGTATGAACATATTGTATATATAAAGATATGAAAAAGTGTACTCTATGTGTAATAAGAGTTATAATGCATTCCACTCTAATGTATTTAAAAAAATAAAATCAATAACACAAAAAACCTTTTTAAATTAAAAAAAAAACCTAATTGTAATGGGGTGTTATTGGTGGGGTTCTAGAATAAAAAAGGATCTTATGTAAAAATCTAAGGAAATATGAAGAAACTGTGTATTTTAGTCAATAAAAAAATTTAAAAATAAACTAACTGGTCCAGTCTAATTTCAATAATTTTACAGACCTAATTGGATTAACCGATTTTTTAAATACCCCTGTAATATATAAATTATATATTTTAATCCAGTAACTATAATTGAAAATGCAGTATATTTAAAACATAATTTAATTCATAAAATTTAAATCAAAACAATAGCTTGGAAAAAATAGAGGAACTATAGAACAATGGTGTGTTCAAATTAATAAATGCATAAAAGAACATCAGAGCAATCATAAAAAAATGCCTCTTGACAATAATAACATTTTGATTTACATTGAATGCAATCAGAACTATTGAAGCATTTTAAATAGATCAGAGAGAAGCTGATTCTTGAGATTTTGGAATGTCATTCTGAGATGACATTGATGTGCATAGAAACTGGAAAGGAAGTTGGAAAAGAGGGGGAAATGTGGAGAAGTGCTTCTGCAACTGAGCATCAATCCCCAAAATACTTGTTAACAAAGTCTGCTGGGCTCCACCGGATACTTTCTGATTCTAGGTTGGTGAACCCAGAAATGTGCACTTTTAACAAGTTTCCACAGGATTCTGATGCTGCTGGACCAGAAACCACACTGTGAGCACCATCGTATTAGAGGAAGAAGGAAAGCTAGGCAGAGGACTGAAAGGACTGGTGAAAAGGGTTTAACAGTTGAATAAAACACAGGAAAATGGAATGCAAGGAAAAGGCACATTGAAGTCTAAATGAGTTTAACCAATGGCATGAAAGACATTTGTAAAATTTAGTTGTTTCAGTTTTCAATCTGAATTATCTACCTTAAATACTGTTAATAATATTATATTCCTGGACCCAACAGTGATTGAATTTCATCAAGGATGCACAGGCATATTCCTTGTTTTTTGTTGGGAGTGAGCTCTTACGTATAGGTCACAGAATTGGGGAGCCAGCTAATGCCCAATCCACATTTGAACTAGGCTTTGCAAGCTTGAGAACTTTTGTTATTTTTTCATCTCATGGAAATAACAACAAATAAAATCAATGGTGTTAAATTTGACTAAATTACAAAGAAAATATTTGAGAGTCAATCAAACAATTTAACGGGCCACAAAACTACATCATTGATGTTTCACGTAACTGCAAATACTAACTACTGAATATTTCCAAAATCATGGAATTGACCAATTTATCTAAGGCTGGACTCAGAGAAGAGTTATTGCTGAGGTGAAATGTTAAGTGCCAACATGGAATATAGGCTCTGTCTCATATCTTTGTTTTACCTGCTTGGAAGCTGTGTCACTTCTAAGTCTCTTGTTGGTTCCCGAAGTTATACCTGGTGACATTCTAGTTATCCTTGATGAAGTTCAAAAAAATTGAAATACCTATCTAAAAAAGCTTCACTGGGGCTTCCAGCTATCAGATAGTGGGAACATGTAACTGTAACATGATATTATTTAAGAAAATAACTTGTTAAAAGACTAATGGTATTAAATTTTAAATAAAAAGATCACCTAAGTCTGGTAATCGATTTGGCAAAACATTATCTGAACAGCAATGTCTGAAACTAGTTTTTTTAGCTGGGGTCAGTATAATTGCTCTGAACTGAGCTTACCTGATGTATCCCCAGGACTGGTAAAGCTGGTGCTCAGCTGGGGTGTGGTTTTTGTACTTCCAGCTGTGGAGGTGATGGGAATTGAAGTTCCAGTAGTACCTGAGAAAAACCAAAGGAACTTCTCACCTAAAGTCTACTTGAACCTTATTATAATTGGGTAATCCAACAGTTCTTTTACTTCTAATATGTAAAAACTGAATAAATGAATCCTGTAACTTATTGCCCATAGTTGCATATGATTTTGTTCTATGATTATTTTCTTGAACATTTGGTTTACTTATTGCATTTTTTTTAAACAAAAATATCTTCCTACATCTAGAATTAGGTCAAATAGGTTTTCATATTTTTATCTCAACTACTTTGCATTAAAATAAGCAGGATTCCCACAAATTACTCTTCATTTTGACCAAAGCCAGGACCTCTGAACACCATCCTCCGCTCACCTGAGTGTACTTCAGGTGATGTCTCTTCATTGCTTTGGGCTCTGGTTGTTGTACCAACTGATGGTCCAGTAGTGCCTTTAAAAATAAACAATAAATAATATCATTATCTTTGATGAAGTGGTATAGAACATGCTGCTTCCTACTTTTAAAATATCTTTCACTTATTTGTATATGTTTCTCCATTTATGTTTCAATCTTTTTAAAAGTTATCATAAACCTTTTATGACTAGAATCGTTAGGTGAGGTAAATCACTTTAGTTGCAAATGATATTGCTTATTATCTACTTCTTCAATGTTCATATATTTGAGCCCAGTTATTCTGATCTAGTCTGTATATTAGCACCAACTGAGGCTTTCCAATATATGTATGCTTGGGCCCTTTCTCTGTGATTCTACATTCAATGAGTCTGAGAAGGAAAAGTGTTAAAAATTTCTGTATTCAATTCTAATTTGTAGCCAGTAGAGTAAACCTTGGCCCCACTCAAAAATCACAGCCTCAGAGGCTCCAGATCAGAGGTCCTACAATTATTATGAAATGTAAGCACAAGCAGGGATTCTTACAATTATAATTCAGTATAGAAAGATCATCTAATCCACTCAGTACACTGCAACCTGATAAACTGTTGGTCAAGAATTGCCCTCCCATTCTTTATTCCCTTCCTACTTCTTTCTACTCAACCACACTCCATAGAAAATAACTGGGACATATAAACACATTCCATTTTATACCTGCACACTCATGGACTTCTCCCTCTAACTTACCTGATTTGCTGCTAGCAGAGGTTGAGAAAGGTCTAGCTGAGTCCTCATGACTGGCAGTGGTGGAGCCTGCAGACACTCCTGTGGTCCCTGGAAACAAGACTAGGTGCATGAGGGGGAAGTATATTATTCCTGTAAACTTGAATGATTGAGTCTCCAGAATTTAAAAAAAAAATGAAGAAAATATCCTCATAACCTTTCTAGGCCAGCAACATAATTCCAATTCAAGCCTGATTTACAGACCTGCACCTGCTACAGGAGGGCATGGATCATAGCTGCTGATATATCATATCCAATCTGGTGGACCTCACCTGAACCTGTGGCTCCAGTGCCTGCTTGATTAGGGGTACTGGCACCTTGAGCTTTTGGGGTTGTTCCAGATGATGCTCCAGGGGTGCCTGATATTTAATGAGAGGAAAAAAAGTGAAAAATTAAAAGAGGGTCTTACAAATATGTCTTGAAATATGCTTTCTTGTTAAATGCACTCATCTATCCTATAATCCTCACTAATCTCTTAAATTCTTTATCAAGATAAATCAGGTAACTCCAATAATGCACTGTCCCATTAACATATTTGTCATTAACCAATACAATAATCATATAGAAAAATTATGAGTAAACATTGTTGTTCTTGTCTCTATTTCCTACCATTTTCTTATGATTCAGTGTGCATCTTTTCTTATTGATTGTTGTCCTACTTATTTCTTGTCTTCTATATCTGCACGGTTGTTAATTTCACCCTTCACAGATTGACTTGTGTGGGATCAGTTGTAGTCTACATTTCATTAATTTCACAGTGGACTCTAAAAATATATTGAACACTACAGACTGCTTATCAATATATTTCTGAGATTTGGCATCATCTAAATGATAATTGATTCCCCTAGAAACCTTGTCTCTGACTAAATTTGAGCACAAAGCTCACATGTCTACTGTCTGTATTTCACACTGGTTATGCTCCTTCAGTACCTGTTCTTCCAGAAGTGTTCTCAACAGCAGAGGCAGTGGTCGTTGCTAATGGGAAGGAGAATGGTGCTTATTAATGTATGAAGAGTCTAGGAAGAAAACACTCTTTGAAGGACACTTTGTAGTTTTATTCTAGTCATTAGTTCCTTCAATGTTCTCCATGGTTACCTTTCCTTCATCTCAATCTCACATTAAGGGATCTTGACAAAACTTGCATTAGATCCCACCATAACACCTTAAGTAGGCCCTTTCTTACCTGCTGGACTTCCAGCACTGGTGGCTGCAGTGCCTGATGGTCCAGGTGTGCTCACACTGCCTGCTCCTGAGGTCACTCCCAAGGATTCTCCTGTTGTACCTGATAAACACAGTAGCAATGCTTGCAACATATGCTAGTTCCTCTGAAGGGAAAATTTGGGATATCCTAGATAAAATTTCAATCTTTCTGAACATTTCCATCATTTATCCAGCAGTTTCATGCCCTAACATTTGTACTTTCTGTTTGTTAACCCAATCCAGAGAATAGAAATTGGGACATACTTACACTCTCCATTTTACAGTTTACTTATAGACTTTGCTTTCATATCTTACCTGATTTGCTACTAGCAGAGGTTGAGAAAGGTGTAGCTGAGTCTCCAGGGCTGGCAGTAGTGGATGAACCAGAAGACACCCCTGTGGTTCCTGAAACAAGAACCAGTTGGGAGCAGGGGGTCCACATTATTTCTGCCCTTTGCATGGATATTTGGGTCTTCCCAGGAAAAAGAAAATGAATGATATGATGTTTTCATCTTTCAGCTGTATAATCCCAGTTGGGACCTGATAACTAGAGATCTGTATGCACTACAAGAGAGCATGGATAGGAGCTCCTAAGGAATTACATCCAAACTGGTGGGCCTCACCTGAACCTGTGGCTCTAGTGCTTGATTCTTCAGGGGTGCTACCTCCTTGGGCTTCTGGGGTTGTTCCAGATGATGCTCCAGGTGTGCCTGATATTTATCAGGGGGAAAAAAGTCAGCTTAAGAAAACAAAAAGGAGGGTCTTTATGAATAGGGACTGAAGTATACTTATTGCTATTAAAAGAATGGATATGTGTACCCTATTAATTTCACAGACATCTTAAGTGTTTCTCCAGGTAAATAAGGTAGATCAGCTAACTTTGATAATGCACTAATTTGGTTAAGATACTCATTATTAATAAAATGTAACATTTATGTAGAAAATTCAAGGTTAAACATCCAAGTCCTTATCTCTCATTATTAGAATTGTCCAATAATAAGATCATATTTCCACTTTCCCCTCTTCATTGCTGTGCTACTTATTCTTTGAACACCTATGCTTCCCAATCATATCCTATTTTCCACAAAGTTTCTAATACAATGGTAAGTACAAAACAAATATCTAATAGTCTATTTCTGATCTTCTGGACACTTGGCATCATATAAATAACGAAGATCAGATCCCTAAGAAACCCTGTCTGACTAGGTTTTGAGCAAACAGCTCTTATGTCTACTGCCTGGCTTTCATGATGCTCATGCTCTTTCATTACCTGTTCCTGCAGATGTGTTCTCACCAGCAGAGATGGTGGCAGATGTTTCTGTTCTTCTACTTGTTGCTAATGGGAAGAATGGTGCTTAGTATACAGAAAGTCTAAGAAGGAAATGCACTTTGAAGGACACTTCATAGTTTTATTAGTTCCTTCACCGTTCTCTATTTTTAAACTTTCCTCCATCCCATTCTAACACTCAGGGATCCTGACAAAGCACACAACAGACCCACCATAAACCCCTAAGTAGTTTCTGTCTTACCTGCTGGGCTTCCAGCACTGGTGGCCCCAGTGCCTGGTGGTCCAGATGTTCTGTCCCTGACTACTCCTGAGGTCACTTCCAGGGCCTCTCCTGTTGTACCTGATAAACACAGTAGCATTGCTTGCAACATATGCTAGTTCCTCTAAAGAGGGAGATTGGGAGATCAAGGCAAAATTTTGATCTTTTTTGAACATTTTCATGATTTATCCAACAGTCTAGATGCTTTCAAATTTGTACCCATTTCATAGGCATTAAGAGCACATCCTGGCTTACCTGAACTTCCTGTGCTTGTAGCTCCAGTGCTGGGTTCCCTGGGTGTGCTGACCTCCCCCCTACTGGGTGTTGTTGTTCTTGGGCCTCCTGTTCCCACTGATAAAAAAATAGCATTTCAAATTGCCTTATGCATCAATCAAATCTTTTAAATCATAAATTTTCTTATACTCTTACTGATGCTTCTCAACAGATGTGGCAAGACACCCATCTCTATTGTTTTCCATCTGTGCTAGAGGCTTTCTTTTAAAAATGCCCAATATTATATATAATTACAATGTATTAATAAATACCTAGAAGTACTATGAAATAAATCCATGTATAAGATTTTAAAAAGGTATCATAAAATATAAAAGCCTTGTTGAGATGTTAAAAGACTATGATGTTTGAATGCTACATTTCTATATAATTGATCTCTATTTCACTTGGTCTGAGAATTTCAGACATTGAATAAGCTGTTCCAAATCACCAGACTTACTGTCTGATAACAAAATATATCATCTATTGAGATGTCATTGTTAGCATGTAATTCTGATTCAGATTTTTGTGAATATAAACTAAACGGTAAACATTCTAAAATTAAAATAAGTTTTTTGATCCAATGAGAATTACCCAGTTTATTTTCCTGCTATAGATAAACTATATCTTTTAATTCAGTATTTTTAATTTAAAAAGCTTATTCAACAACTATTTGAGTCATGCATTTTATTTTATTTTATTTTATTTTTTTAAATCTGAAAGGACTGTATTGGTTCTGGAAAGCATACAGTAAAACTAAAAAACTTTTTGCAGAAGGAAATTTCCAACTCTATTTTCTTTTTTGTTGTTGTTGTTGTTTATATCTTTTTTATAATTTTTATTGTTGGTTGTTCAAAACATTACATAGTTCTTGATATATCATATTTCACATTTTGATTCAAGTGGGTTATGAACTCCCATTTTTACTCCATATACAGATTGCAGAATCACATAGGTTACACATCCATTGATTTACATATTGCCATATACAATATACACTAGTCTGTTGTATTCTGCTGCCTTTCCTATCCTCTACTATCCCCACTCCCCTCCCCTCCCCTCCCCTCTTCTCTCTCTACCCCCTCTACTGTAATTCATTTCTCCCCCTTGTTTTTTTTTTCCCTTTCCCCTCACTTCCTCTTGTATGTAATTTTGTATAACCCTGAGGGTCTCCTTCCTCAAGGAGCTTGATATCAAATCAGAGACACGGCATCTGATAGAAGAAAAAGTTGGCTACAATCTACATACTGTGGGGTCGGGCTCCAAATTCCTCAATAGGACACCCATAGCACAAGAGTTAATAACTAGAATCAACAAATGGGACCTACTCAAAAAGTTTTTTCTCTGCATTTTAAATTAAAACAATAGCTAAGCAAATAAGTGTAGGAAAAACACAATGAGGCGATGAATTTGTTAATAATAGCATGAAGAAGAAAAGTCCTGTTCATATAAAGTTT